GTTGGGGATGTAGCTCAATGGTAAAGCCCCTCTGGGTTCAACCCCCAGTATCCCCCCAAAATTTTTATTTATTTATTTATTTATGGCTCCTTTGTGCTATTGTTCCACATTTTCTTCTGTTATGAATTGCAAAATAAATTGTTATTATTTTTTAAAAATAGTCAATTATTTAATTAATTTTAGTACTGGGAATTGAACCCAGTACTACTGAGTTTTATCTCCAGGCCTTTTTATTTTTTATTTTGGAACAATGTCTTGCTAAGTTGCTGAGGCTGGCCTTGAACTTAGATTCAGTCTTCCCACCTCAGCCTCCCAAGTCCCTGGGATTTTAAGTGTGAACCACCATACTGACTCTTTAAATCTTTTTTAAAAGCAACTTTACTGAGATATAATTCACATACAGTTTACCCATTTAAAGTGTACAAATCAATGGCACATATTCAAGGACTTGTACTGACATCACCACAATCAATTTTAGAATACTTTCAATACCCCCCAAAAGCAAACATGTGCCTGCTGGTCACTTACATTTTCTCCCAAACCCTTCAACCCTAAGCAACCACTAATCTGCTTTATTTCCATAGACTTGAAGTTCTATCAGTTTTTGTATTTTGAAGTTCCATTACTAGATGTATAAATGCTTAAGATTGTCATGTCTTCTTAATTAATTGACCCTTTTCATTATGAAATAATCTTTTTTATCATATTAATATTCTTTGCTCTGAAATCTACTTGTGTGATATTATTTTAGCTGCTCCAATTTTCTTTTGATCTTAACTCCAGGAAAAGTGAAAAGATGTACAGGAGTGAAAAATTATTGCAATTTACTACATGGCTAAACCCTAAATAGCTTATATAATAATGTTAATGTAAATACTGAATATTGATCTATTTTAACTTAAATGACAATGTAATAATGGAAAAACGAAGGGAAGTTATGTGTGTGCATGTGTGTGCACGTATGCTAATAGGAAAACACTAAGAAAGGAGCTAAATCTTTATATTGCATACTGGGAGGCTAATAAATATTTCCTAATTTGGTGGGAAAACAATAGCCACACAGCATGTTATTTAGCAATATGGAGGTCAATGTCAAAACTACAGCCCAAATAGGGGTTGGCAAACTTTCTGCATGTAGTCAGATAATAAATATCTAGGGCTTTATGGGTCATATGGTCTTGTAAACTGCTCAACTCTGCCCTTAAAGTAGGAAAGTAGCTATAGACAATATGGGCAAGGCTATTCCAATAGAACTTCATTTGCCATAACAGGCAGCTGGCCAGATTTGGCTATTTACTAACACCTGAGCTAAAAGAATTGAAAGTAGTTGAACTTAGAAGAAAAGAAAATAGGGATGAGGTGGGACTAGGAAATGCTCTGGTCTCAACAGATCTTTGCATAATAGGATGCCTCTTTAAACTGTGAACATGTGTTACTTTGCTTAAAATAAAAAGAATCAATAAAGAGTAAAAAAAAAAAAAAAAAAAAAAAAAAAAAGCCCCTGACAGGACTGTCTGCCTCTTACTTGAAAAGAATGGAGAACTGATTATACAAAATTACTCAGTAGGGAGCCCAATATCCTGGATAATGTGAATTTTTGAATTGCTGTATTGAGTGTATTCTCCCATTGCCTTAGGGATACTGTAATGAACAGCCACTCAGGAACCTCAGCAATTTAGTGAGGCCCTGTTTCAAAATGACTAAAGGGCTGAGGATATAGTTCTGTGGTGGAGCACTCCCTGGATTTAATTCCTAGTACTGAAAAAAAGAGTTGTTGTTCTTCCTTGGCCATGGAAAGCCATGAGTATAAAAGAAAGTGATCTGGAGAGCTCAGACTACACAGTGTCATTTTACTGATATTCTCTGGGGGAAGAGCCAGTACAAAATCCAATTAACCTGCAGCCATGGGGGGTGGGGGTTTGTTCCCCCAAATTATAAAAACAAGAAAACTCAAGACAAGGACCCAATAAGACCAGTGATTTCAGTGGTAGGGCAAACTGGCCAATACCAGGAGAGTTAGTGAGCAGTGGATCTCAAAAGTGATGATCTACTGATGCCCTGGGTGTCATCTGATGGGAATGTTCAGTGGAACAGGTAACTCACTGAAATGCATTGTAAATACTGGAGCAAACCGTGCTGCAGAGATATAAGCCACCAGATGGCGTTCTGTGTTACCCCGGAGCAGCATGGCAGTGGAGATGACCACCTCTGCCACAATGGGAGACAGAGCCAGGGACGGCTGCTGGAATTCCAGGAGCTACCTGCCTTTTTCTTTGTGACTAGACTTAGGCCACATGGCTACTTTTACTTGCAGGGGAAGCTAATTATTATCACTGTGGAAATACTGCAAGGTTCTGTCTTTTGTTTCCAGATATATGTACTTGTGTCTAGGTCAATAATCATAGAAAGAGAGGACTATGTAGCGTTTCCCAGCTTGCCAGGCCCTTGGCTCTTGATCTGCCCTTTGCCATGAACATTTCATAACATGTGTTAAGATGTTTTACACAAATGATAAGATTTATTAATGTGGACATTTAAGGGGTAAGAAATTGAAGAAATAAACAAGGGTATTTTTTCCATTATACATCAGTATAAGTCCTGTCCATCACAAAAACATTAATGATGGACAGTTTCACAGAAATTTTTATCCATATTTCTTTGTGAGCCCTGTGCTTCTAATCCCAACAAGCAACTTGGGAAAGTGTTTTAAAGGTTGAAGAAATGTGAGATTGTTTGCTTGCTTGTTTTTTAAAGATATAATGGGTGATTGCAAAAGTTAGATTTATTTATTGTGTAAACTTGGGTCCAAGATGAAATTTTTAATCAGCTTATGAACAATCATTGGTAAGTTGGATAATATAGAAAATACTTTTTTCCACACAATAATTGCTGATGCCTGTCCATCCATTAACCATTTATGTATTATTAATAAAATTAACAGAATAAAATCATAAAAATCCCATTAACCTAGTCAAAATTTTGAAATATATGCAAATATAAGAAACTGATAAAGCTATGACCAATGTAATAAATGGATTTAGATATAATCTACATTGAAATTTTTGTCAAGTATAACTAACATTCTTCTCAATTTAAAAAAAAATCAGCTCTCTGGGTTGGGATTGTAGCTCAGTGGAAAAGCGCTTGCCTAGCATGTGTGAAGCATTGGGTTCAAGTCTCATCACCACATATAAAAATAAATAAAAGGTCCATCAACAACTAAAAAAAAAAAAAATCAGCTCTTAGTGTTAAAGAATAGTACTTTACTTGAATGATAGTTAAATAAATTCAACCAGTCTGGCTGGTTGGTTACTTAATTTTTAAAAAATACTTATTTTTTATTTGTAGTTGGACGCAATACCTTTATTTTTATGTGGTGCTAAGGATCAAACCCAGAGCCTCCCACATGCTAGGCAAGCACTCTACCACTGAGCCATAAGCCTACCTTGGTTACTTAAATTTTAAAGTATCTTCTAAAAGACTGATAGTATAATTGTCAGCCTAATAAGAAATTTGGAAAATGTTAATAAAATGTCTGAGGTGCTAGCAAAGACGATGTACTAAAAATCCTTTTTTTTTTTTTTTTGAGCAGGCATTGAACCCAGGGGCACTTAAACACTGAGCCACATCCCCAGCTCATTTTACTTTTTTAAATTTTTGAGACAGGAACTGGCTAAGTTGCTGAGGCTAGCCTCAGTTTCCTGAGTTGCTGGGATTTGGGGCATACACCAATGTCCTGGCTCTTTTTAGCTTCTTAACCCACTTCTAAGAATACTAGCTGTTGAGAACTCATTCTTTGTTTTCTCATTTATAAGTTGGAGATAATATCATGATACCTACTTTACAGATTGAGAGGATCAAGTGAGCTAATATGTGAAAATACTTCAAACAGGTTCATGCACCAAAATTTTTATGATATTTGTTACCATAAAGCCAGAGGTCATTTAGTTAATTACCATGATAATGGTTAAAAACAGTATTCTGCAAAATCTTCCCTTCCTCACTGCCTAAAATGCCATTTGTATTCACAGTGAACTCTTAATAAGCTTGTTCTGAAACCATTTGGATGTGTGCTATCAGTTTAATATCTTCAAGAACACTGTTCCTAGAAATGTTGCAAATCTCCTAAAATGCCCTCCTCCAAATATGAAATAGGCTGACAGGTTAAAACAGGGCATGAGATCATCCAAGAGATGAGAACTGGTAATAACACTGCCATCTTATCAGAAAAGGTTAAAAAGAGACCTCCAATCTCCAATTATAAGATGTTTAGAACATATTACATTTTGTCAACCTAATAAAGAAAATAAAATTTAATTTCCCAAAATTTTATTAAAAATGGAATCTTTCATCAGATATCTTATTGCAAAGATGAAATCTCACAGCATAGCAGTAAAGTTTGCTTTAATAACAAGCTTTAAGCAAAAACAAATTATTTTTGTAGTTCTCAAACTTGAGAGGTTTATGTCATTTAAAAAGAAATGCTATTTTCTTTTTTGCCATGAATCATGGACAAACATTTTTCCACAAGAATTTTTGCTCATTAAAAAAGAAAAGGGGAGGGGGAAGAGGTAGCATTCAATTAAGTCTTTGAAAAATTAGAAAAACAATTTCAAGTCCAGTTCTTAAAATCTTTATTTGGTTCCCTTTTGATGTAAAAACTGCCATTTTTTCCTAAGTTGTCCCTTAAAACATATTAAAAGTAACCACCCAATCATCTATAGTAGTTTCATGGTATACACAAAGTTCAAATGAAAAGGGAACTTTCAAATATATTCTATGATGTACTAAAATACTTTTGATTATGGCTACATTAACTGGATATTTTTTAGATAAAATTTCTCCTTAGGTAGTACTTCTGGATTTAGAAAATGCTGAGGTAAATGTCTAGGAGCAGAATATGTCTATGTGGCACTTCTTTCCCAGTTGAAAAATATTTTATAGTTACACTGAACATGAATGACCAATATATTCTAAATCCAGTACCATTTCCATTAACATTATTTCTTTGGCAAAGGTTCCCCAGGCATTTTTGCATACCTACTGCTGTCAGACTTGGAGGGCAATGGAGGTATAATAGCATTATTAACTTTTTTGCTTAGTTGCATAAGAGCTAAAGAGACGTGTATCCAGTGATACAGAAGTTCAATGACGGTATTACCAAATTTCCATACTTCAATTCGGGAATGACCTGCATCAAGGAAAAAAAAAAAAAACCCAAGTTAGTGTGACTAGGTTTGTAATTTTATAATTAAAATGATTAAATTCCAATACTATGATTAAAGTGCATTAGATACATTTGGAGTCAAAATCATAGCAAAATCTTACTTAACTATGTAATTACAAGAATATGGATAGATACATTTTGATATATACAGACAAAGGAATACTTCACAGCAACAGTTAACAATTAAAGAAACATTAATAGACAGCTCAATCTCAAAAACATATTGAGCCCAAAAAGTCATAGAATATTATGTAATTTGTATATAATTTAAGAAGTTTAAAAATCTGTAAAACAGTATTGTTTATAAGTTCACAAGGATGTAGAAAAAAAGAAATCATGCATGAAACTGATAAATACCAAATTCATAATAGTGTAATGAGAAAAGAACAAGATCAGGGAGAGATAGAGAGCATCAACTGTTCCTATGTTTTCTATCTTTAAAACTGTCTGACTCAAACATGGCATAAAGTTAAGGTTGGGTATAGAATATAGCTTTGTAATAATTACACAGGTATTAGTCCCTAATTAAAAATTATTTTTAAATATACAGTTACTCTTCACAGATTTTTAAAGTTGTTAAATTGAAAATTATTAAACTGCCATTCATAAAAAATATTTTTTCTAGGAGTCAATAACTAATATTCAGACAGAATGGTCCAGTGGAAAGAGTATGTACTTTAGATTTGAGCAAATCTGGATTCCAATTTTGATTCTACTCCAACTAATTCTGTGACCCTAAGCAGGTCATTTAATTGTTCTAAACCTAAGTTTCTTTTTCTGAAAAATTGGAGTAGTACCTCAGGATTTTTATGAGGATTAATAAGAAAATATATACAAAGATCTATCACAGAGGTATCTCCCACTCCCAGGTCTGTTTTATTTTCATTATTCATAGTAGTTAACTCAGTATCTAAACCAATAAATAATTGCTTATTGAATTGAATAAACCATTAAATGTACTTCTAATTAAGAGCTTTAAATATAAGGTCTTCTATCTCATAACTTATCTATAATAATGACAATTACCCATTAGGATTTAAAAACAGAACACTTTTATTTCCCTGTCTTCTACCAATACAAAGAACAAGTTTCCCTAAATTAGGTTTAGCTTTCCTATAGTTATGAAGGTACTATTACAACAAAAGTTACAATATATGAAAAGAAAGGGACATAAAATGTGGAAAACATTCACAAGTCTCCATTTTTATCTGAAGCTGACTTTAAAACGTGAGTTCAATTAATTTTCAAAGATTCCTTTTTCACACACACATGCAGGCACTGTCTTTCCTCATTGAATTGTAAGTGTTCAATAAATGTTGAGTTGAAATAACATTAAAGAATAATTTAATTTGGTTTTTCAAATACTAAAAATTTTTCCAGATTAGAGCTCAATAACATTAATGACAATTATGAATAAAAACAAAACCAGATGCTAGTCATGAAAACACATTAAAAATATCTGATACATTTCATTTAATGGGCAATATTAGACCAATCAAAATACATACTTGAAATATTTAGGGTGCATTTGTAATAACTGATCTTTCTTTGTACTAATTAGCTTCTTGGAAACTTTATAAGGTAATGCTACAGGTTTCTAAAGATTACTTTGATCACCTTAATGTTTGAATGTTATGATTAAAGTTCACCGTTTGACACTCCTAAAACCAGTCCTGATTTTCCAGATAAAACAGCTCTGCTGCTCCCCACAGCTTTATTCTGCCTTTCCTGAATCCTCATTAAGAGCTTTGTTCCACCCATGCCGGCCTCATAGTTCAACATCCAAATGAACAGATCCCTGTCTACAGCCATTATGAAGCTTTTTGCTATCTTCATGGTGATTTAAGGACATGCTGATGGGGAGAGAGGTCGCTCCCTTTCACAAGCCCCGGTTGCTTATTTCCTGTCTTATTGTTGCCAGAGACAAAGCTCTGAACCCATTGGGAGGTGGTTCTTGTTTCCTGTCTTTTCCAGAGATTGATGCCTTAACAACGGGCTCTAATGATTCTCTAAGGATGCCTCCTGCGCGCTCCCCCTTGACGGTTGAGCGCTATTGCCCTCTTGTGGTGGTTAGGTGACAGCTCTTTGCATGTTGGCAGAGACAGCTTATTCGCACAAACTTAGAAATTCTTTCACGCAGATATATTACTTTTATTTCTTTTATAATCATAAAAGATTAAGGGAGTTTTTGCTTTTCCTTGGCAAAGATTATAGTAAGTATTTAAAAAATAATTATCTTTTAATTATAGGCGGACACATATCTTTATTTTATTTTTATGTGGTACTGATGATCAAACCCAGTGCTTCATGAGTGCTAGGCAAGTGCTCTAGCCACAATCCCAGCCCCTATAGTAAATATTTTAATACATCCAAGCTATAAAGATTTCTAGGTCAAACCTTTGAATCTGTTCAGGGATCCATTCAGAAAACTTTTATTGTAGTATTTTTGCAGGTTTTAGTTTAATCAAAGTTTTAATTGCATAGGGAATTTATTATGCTGGAAACACTAGGTTATAAAAAGGATGTTTTAAGATTAAAACTCCATTTATGAATTACTGCATTAACACTGGATTAATTAATTTAAATCCTTTGGGGATTATAGACAATTAGCAAAAATGGGCAAAGCAAAAAGATGAAGTATGTAAGCTTCAGGTTTGAAAGCTAGTTTGTAACTGCTCCTTTCAACTACCAACTAACTCATCAGCAGCAGCTTTTCTTGAATGCTCCTCTCCTTCATCATTAGTTCTTTTAGTTTTAGTTCTTTTATTTCCATTGATTTACATGCCATAAATCACTCAACATTAATGCTGCACTCAGTGAGGGAAAGGTCCATACAATAATATATGTGTATGCAAATTTCAATAGTTTTTATGTAGGCAAGGAACTTATGTTTGCCATGGAAGCTGACCACTTAATCTGTTTCTGTTAATTTAATGTGGTCCCAAACCCACTGTATGGTGGTGCCTCCCAGGCTTATCAGGAAAAGAATCAAAGTTAAATGGGGGAGGTAAAAACACATTTTTCTTGAGTTTATCAAAGTTTGGGTGGAAGTTTGTTCCAAGATGAATACTGAATTCTTGCAGGGTACATTAGTTTCATTCCTATTGCAGGCATAATTTCAATAATATCACATGTACTGGCTTTTTTTCCTGAGGTAGCCATAAATCAAAAGTGTCGATTGAAATCAGTGTAATTTATCTTTACAAAAATTCATAGTTTAGCCAGGCACAGTGGTGCATACCTGTGTAATTCCAGCAACTTGGGGAGGTTGAGGCAGGAGGATCATAGCTTCAAGACCAACCTGGGCAACTTAGCAAGATCCTCTCTCAAAACAAAAAAAATAGAAAGGGCTGGGTTATCTCAGTGGTAGAATTCCCCCAGGTTCAATCCCCAGTACCACATGCACACACACAAAATTTATAGTTTAATGCAGTGACCTTCAAATTTTTGATGATGTACTTTACTTCTTCAAGTAACAAATGTTGACCACATACCCCAAAATATGATTTAAAAAAATTTGTAGATGGACAGAATGCCTTTATTTTATTTATTTATTTTTATTTTTATGTGGTGCTGGGGATCAAACCCAGTACCTCACACACTCTAGGCAAGCACTCTGCCACCAAGCTACAGCCCCAGCCCCTTGCATATATATTTGTTTGTTTATTTATTTTAATTTGGAGGGAGTACTGGGAATTGAACCTAGGTGTGCTTAGCCATTGAGCCACATCCCCAGCCCTTTTTAAAAAATTTGCATTTTGAGACAGTTTCTTAGTAAGTTGCTTAGGGTCTCACTAAGTTGTTGAAGCTGGCCTTGAACTTGCAATCCTCCTGCCTCAGCCCTGAGTTACTAGGATTACAGGTACCACCAAACTGGGGATTGATTCCAGGGCCTTGTAACGTGCTAGGCAGATACTCTACTGCTGAGCTACCTCTACAGCTTTATTTAAAGAATTTTAAAAATAAATATAAATTATACTCTGATGAAATAAAACTATTATGAACAAAAGTCCAATGATATTATGTTTGCATATGATATTATTTTTGCATTTCAAAGATAACATTTTTCAAAATTTTTAGACACTGCCACTTCACTTTGGAGACCACCAACTCAAAATATGAAATAGATAATCCTTTTCTAGATGATTAATGTGCATTCAGTTTTGCTCCCTTCTAAAATCCTACTAAGACTGATGTAAAAAATATCACAAGGATGAGGAGATCAGGAAAAGAGGAACACCAATATTTTGCTCCTACTCCTGTCTTCTCAGAGCCACAACCACCTCCTCTCCCATCCTCACACTATCAGATGATCCTGCTTCCAACTTCATCATAAAAGCTGAAGCAATAGAAGACAACCTCCACAGTCTCACCAGCACATTTACCCACTTATTCCCTTCTGCACCACTTACTCTATCCTGATCCTGTAATCATAAACCAATTCCTCAGTTGGTGCACCAGATGTAAGTAGTTGTACAATTCATTGTCCAAACCAGTACACATTTTTTTTTTGCGGGGGCGGGGGGGACCAGGGATTGAACCCAGGGTGCTTAGCCACTGAACTTCATCCCCAGCCCTTTTAAAAATATTTTACTTAGAGGCAGGGTCTTGCTGAGTTACTTAGGGCCTCACTAAGTTGCTGAGGCTGACTTTGAACTTGTAATCCTCTTGCCTCAGCCTCCTGAGCTACTGGGATTACAGGCATGTGCCACTGCACCTGGCCCAAACTGGTACACTTGAGAGAGTACTAAATGAACAGGTCACCAGGACAATAAGCAAGAATTGAAACCGTCTGAAGGTAACCAGATTCCACCCTCCCTCATCTGCCTGAAGACATTACTTCAGGAGTTCTGTATCTCCAACATTGTCAACTTCTTGCTTTCCACAGGATTATTCCCAACAGAATCAAACCTGCTGTTATCTCTCTCATTTTCAAAACAAAACTTCTTTGACCCCATTTCTCT